CATAGCCAGAAATCCCGTACAGTCAGCGGCTCGAACGGCGGGCGCGTAAATTTCTGCATTCAAGATGGCGGATAAACGAAGAGGAAAGCATTCCCAAGGCTATTATCGGAGCTTAAATGCTCTCAATACGGCAGATTTCATTGAGAGTCGGTGGAAAAGGAAAAAAGGCCCTTACTTTCAAGTGGAAAGAGTTTTAAGCTGCAGGAGAAATAAAGGAAAGGTAAATAAGACGCTTGTTTGAAGCACGTAACGTCACTAATGAATTGATAACCTTGTGTACACTTTTTACCGCACACATAAACAAGTGTTCTATGTATTTTGTCTTTAAGAATGAGTACCTAATTCGTTGGAAAGGGTACAGTTCGCTGGAGGACACGTGGGAAGTGGAGGAAAACCTTAATAAAACCGCAATAAGGTGCTTCTTTTAGCATTATTTTGTCCAGTCAAAATTAAACGTACGAACTTAATTTTTTACTACTCCTCGATCTAGTACGAAATAGTTTGGGACACGAGAAGAGAAGATAACAATTTTATGTCATCTTTCGCATTATAAGCAATTTTGTTAGTGTTTTTATTTGGTTATTGTTTCACTTTCTGCAAAAATATTGCATGTATTTTAGACAATAATGGATCCCAACTATTTTCTTTAGGGCATTTAGAATGTCCAAACCCTCAGAGGAAAGAATTAAAGAGGGATCTGATCTACTGGCAGTTGCTATTCTCCAGCATCTCAAGAGCAAACATCAGACAGCCTCAGCCACAACTGTAGTAGAAATTAGACATGATGTCTTTAATTATATTTTTAGAGGACGAGGAAGACCCAGCACAAAATCTGGTTGTACTTTGTTAGAGAAGACTGACTTTAACCGCTGTTCTTTTTTAAAAGAATGTCCCGACTGGGACTCTTACATAGACAACCTTGGAGATGGCACACAAGTCATATTTCCAATTAGAGCAAAACCTTTTGTGAGCTTGGGACCACAGACACATAAACTTGTGGAGGGGAAGCTTGTACCTAAGCCCAGATACCATCTCGAAAAAGTAAGTTTAAGTTTTAACAAGCGCTCAATTGCAGTATTGTGATTGAAACTGAGAATGTGAATGCATGCTTTTAGATGGGTTTAGGTACAAGCTAATACCCTGCTTATTAAGCGCATTAATAACCCTGCTTCTAAGAAATTATGTTGTTATGTCAAGTCAGAAAGTTACATAAAGGCTTTGAAATTGTTGTTTATATTTGTTTATATTTTGAAGATTCCTCTGTTTATGTGCATGCTTTGTAGCTGCTCAGGCTAGACTCTTTTTTTTTTCTGTTTTGTTTGTTTACCCTTTCCTTTCCCTTTTCTGTTTCCTTTTCCCCCATCGTCTATATGCCTTTTTCTTTTATTTCCCGGCCTTTCATGATCTGTGCCATTTCTTGCTTGGGGTTGTTCATTCTGAACTTGTGATGTAGATGTGTCTGGCGAGTTGTTGCTTTCCATGTTGGGTATGTTTGCTTCAGGTTGTCTCTTTTTACCCGCACGCTTGACACTGATTTCTTGCTCCCAGTATTGAGAATTGTGTTTTGTGTACTTTCTGCTTGCTCTTTCTCTTTCTCTTAGAAGCCATTGTCTGTTTTCAAGTCTAAGAATATCTCCAACTGAGTCAAAGTGGTTTGATTTTCGAAGCACTACATTCCTTGCTGAGTCATTGTTTTTCTCAACTCCTTGACCAGTGAATACTTTTAGAGATTTATGTGTATGGAGGAAATAAGGGACATGAGCAAAAAGTACATGCATATATGGAGTAATTCTCTTTCTTTCATAGCCAATTCTCTTTCCTCTGAGAGAAATAAAGGTCTCCAACCAGTTTTGTGCCTTGTGCCAAAAAGTGTCAACAGATTTGTCTGAGGACCAGGAATTTATGTCTTCATACAAACTTCTGAAATCACTCCACACCTTGGATATTTCAGTGCAGGTATTTGGCTGCAGCACTTTACAGAGATTTTCTGGTAGCAAGGAGAGAATTTTCTTCTTGTCGTTTCCAAACAGACTTGTAAATTCATACTTTCCAGTGCCTTTATTGTCAGCTGGATTTCGGAGTTCCCAAACATCAAAACCCACACCATAGGATCTGATCTCACTCACGAGCTTTTTCAAATGGATGCCTTGAGGCTCTTTGGATGATTTTTCGAAATCTTCAATCTTATCCCAGTCAATGACTTCAGTGATAATGTTGTCTAGCATCACATCCATTACACGTAGCAGCAGGTGTAACTCATCTACAATGACATGGTCAAGGTCTATGTTCAAAAGTGGTTCCTTCACACAGCAGTAATCACCTTTTCCTTTCTTCACCAGCTCCTTAATTTCCAATAGTGTTCTCATCATTGGTGGTGAATTAAAGTGATGGAAATGCTTGTCTGTTTCCCACCTTTTGTCTTTATGGATTTTACACCATAGGCAGGCATATAAAGATGTAGCCCCCTTAAGTCCCATGACTGTCAGTAGAAATTTATAGTCCCCTCCTAGGAAAAACTCAAGCTTAACTTCTTGACCATCAACACTAATAGTGCCTTTGTCAATCAGAGAATTTATTTCTGAAAATGTAGTCTTGAAAGATACCTGTAGTGTTTCATACTTTTCACTACCATTGACTACTGCAATGGTATGATTTCCTTTGGCAGACATAACTTCGTCTTGTTTCTGGAGTAGTGCACAAGAGAGAAGAATGTAATTAGATTTCTGTGTCATTTTAGCTCCATCCCCACTGATTTTTATTTTTAGTGTTTCATTGCCAAAATCAAACTCTGGATTTTCCTTTTTAAAAGCTGAAATTTGCTGCAAGAGAAGTGATTCAAATGATACTTGTGCACCTTCATTTGTTCCAGGAGTAGGTGTCACATGACAAAGTTTGTCCAGATCATTTCTGCATTGTTTAATCAGATAAGATCTTGGAAGACCATTTTCAATCATGCTAAATTCGTGGTAAAATTCATCACTGACACAGAATTTATCAAGAAGATAAAGAATTTGTTCAACTTTTTCCATGTCGGAATCGTTTATGTTAGTAACAGGATTTGAACATTCGCCTGATTTTTGTGCTTTGGTTTCAACATTTACTTCGTATGTTTTCCCTGTGTCTGCCTCTTTAACTC